CATTTCAGACCCATCAGTCTCTACAATGTCCTCTACAAGATTATCTCTAAGTGGTTAGTGCTCAAAATGTAGCCATTGCTAGAAGAGGTGATCTCCCCTTATCAATTTAGCTTCCTAAAAAACAGACAACATCATACTAACCAATGAGATATTGCATCAAATGAGAAAGCAGAAAAAAGGAAAGGGTTTCATTGCCCTAAAATTAGACATGTCCAAAGCGTTTGATAGAATGGGTTGGCTTTTTCTCAAAGAGACACTCAACAAAATGGGTTTTCCACCAAAATGGATTCAAATGATTTATCAATGTATCTCTACCTCAACATTCTAAGTGAAACTAAATGGAAGATGTTATGGCCATTTCAAACTAAGACGGGGCCTCAGATAGGGAGATCCTCTCTCCCCATATCTATTTATCATGGGTATGGAGATACTAACACAATTGCTAACATGTGCTGAAAGAGAATGTCTCATTGAAGGAGCCAAGATTGGCAGGAATGGCATGTCTACTACTCATTTGTTATTTGCAGATGATTGCATTATTTTCTGCAAAGTGGATGTGTTACAGGTTAAAGTTCTACGCCAAATCATATCCATTTTTGAGTAGCTTTCGGGAAAAAAGACAAACTATGAGAAATCCTCTATCATGTTTGGCAACAACGTCCCAAGATGCCATAGTCATCTCCCATATTCTCAAGGTCAGAAAGCCTCTGCAAGGCACAAAGTACCTAGGTACCAGACTAGGAGTTAAAGACAATAGGATATCAACATATCAGCCATTAGTGGATCGGGTGCTATCAAAAATCACATCTTGGAACTCTAGATTCCTATCCCAAGCAGGGTGCACCACTTTGATCCAATCAAGCCATGCCTGTTTACTCCATGCAGACAACAATTCTCCCCAAAGGAACACTTTCCAAACTAAGCAAATTGATGAGGGATTTCTGGTGGCACGCGGGTGACAACAAGTCCAAACACACAATACAATGGAGAATAGAAAATCAACCGAAACAAAATGGTGGTTTGGGCTTCAAAAAAAACCAAGACATGAATAAAGCGGTTTTTGGGAAACAAGTTTGGAGAATGATATCTTCTACAAACACTCTATCGAGCCAAATCATCAAACAAAGGTACTTTCCAACTCAAAGCCCATTTCAGGCCAAAACCACCCACACTTCATTTTGTGGTGGCATTCCACACAAAAACTACTCAAAGAACTAAAGCCAAACATAATATGGCAAGTCAGTTCGGGCAGAAACATTGCAGCTTTTACGGATCCATGGGTTCCAACAATCACGAGGGGTGCCCCACATCCCAGAGATACAACCATTGAGCCTCATGGTAACCATCACGTTTCATCTTTTCTGAACCCAGATCAAAGCTGGAATCACCAAATGCTGGCCCAAATTTTAGATGAACAAACATGCCCCCATATCCTCCAAATCACACTAGACCCAGAGTCTAGCCAAGATAATGTTCTGTGGAAATGCAACACCTCCGGAATATACACAGTGAAATCGGCATACAAGGTTTTTGAAAACAAAAAACCACCACCCTCCCAAACACATTTCCCATGGAAGGATCTATGGAAACTGAACATTCCCTATAGGTGTTCAGTTTTCATCTAGAAAGTGGTGTGGAATGGTCTTCTAACTTGGAATAAATGCACAAAATGGCTTCACCCCTCTGAAACAGACTTCCCTTTCTGTAAAAGTCAAAAGGAAACAACCTCACATCTCCTCTTTACATGCCCTTTTACAAGAGCAGACATCAAAGAGGAAGAGGAATTTATACCTCCATCACAAGGTGGTGGGAAAAATTGAAAAAAGATCTCACTAGGAGGCTATACAACTGATAGGGAAGGTTTGTATCTTATTATATCTCATATGGAGAGCCATAAATAATCTCATTTATGATCACAAGAACACAAATCCAAGGAATATCATATATCGAGCATGGAAGTATCAATGCTTTCAAGACAAATGTTTTGAAAATATTAGCACCACCTTTCCCACATATGTGAGAAGGAACACCCTCACCACACTCTACACTGATGGATTATATGACTCACTCTCAAGTCTTGCAGGACGAGCTTTCATCATCTAATGCATAGATAGAGGTACAATCTTTGCTGAAGGAGAACCATGCTAGGCCATCGACAGATATGATGCGGAACTCCGGGCTCTAATCCAAGGGCTCAAAACAATCAGCCAACTTCAGATATCCAGGATCATGATATACAGTGACTTATCCCAACTAATTGATTTTTTTGCAAGATAGAAGTCAACCAAGGAGATGGAGAGACCGGTTACATTGGGCACAACTATCAAGAATTTTATCTACTTTTGATCAACTACAGTTTGTACATATAATCAGAAACTATAACAAGGCCTCTCATACACTAGCCTATCTAGCATGTAAAGGCCAGACGAAAATATCTTATAACCCATGCTTATACTCATCTGTACAGTTTGGTTTACCTTAATGAAAAGGCTGATTGTTTTCTTTTGCAAAAAAAAAAGAAATCTACAAAGCCTACAATCAATGGATATTTTTTTTTTTACTTTATCCCAATGTTTTAAAAACCAACCCACTTTTGCGTACAGGTCATGGTCACCATTTTGACCATTTAGGTCGAATGGGTATATATATATATATTATATATGTACATGTATTTTATTATTAAAAAAGTGTATAATTATTTTTGAGGTATAATATATGTATATATAAATATTATTTTGTATATAATTTTAATTCAGTTTTATATTTTTTATTCATAAAAAAGTAAAAATTGTAATTTGAGGCCCAAAAAAGGGTTTTTGGGTATCGGAGTGACCGGGTTGAATGGATCAACAGTTGAACCACCTAGATTGAATGGTTTTTGATCAAGTAAACATTTCTTGACCAACAAACAGGTTTTAGCATAACTGGACTCAATCAAGGCTGGGTGATGGTTTGAGCAGTTCAACCAGCCGGGTCAATGGTGGGTTGAAAACGTTGCTTTATCCCACAGTATTTATTTATAGTGTCTACAGTGAAATGCAAAATGTATATGTAGATGAGTAAAGGTGCAAAGTTCGTTCAGTATTGGTTGTAAATGGTAATGGTACAAATACAAATCTCAAGGCTGGAGTCAACTTATTTTACATTGACCAACTTTTGCCTGCATATTTCTGAAGTAAATTTTGCTCTTGTTTGGTTGTGACGGTACAAATGCAAATCTGAAGGCTGTAGCAAATTTATTTTAAATTGATCAACTTTGAATGCAAAGTTTGCCCAACTTTGTTCATATTTTAAATCGATTAAAAAAATGTATATTTTCAAATTCGCTTCAGTTTTGCTTACCAAATAGCTGTAAAACCGAACTGGAGCACACACATATATATATATAACCAATGAGAACTCCCTTTCATTCTTGAAAGTTGGATTCAAGATATCTGATTCGAGTACGTAATTCTGGTTCATCTTTGGAGTTCTAAAATGTATAGAAATTAGAGAATGACCCTCGTACTAGGTATGGGGCGGCAGGGGTAGAGCCNGGGGGTGTGGGGGACCCAGGGGAGCCATTTATTATTTAATTTAAGAGATTAAATCAAGTTTTATTTTTAAATTAACCCACTTTATGAATCCTACATTATTTGAAATTTGAAACGAGTTTTTGTGTTTTCTCCTCCTTTAGTGGAGTTAACTATCATTAACCTTTCTAAATGGAGGTAAGATGGCTAAACCAACCAATATTGAACTTATTTACTCAGAAATTTAGTTCACAGAAAGACATCATCAGACAGAATTAGTACCATTTTCAACTGAATCCCCATCTCTCTTTGGACAGAAAGGGAATTTCAAACATATTTCCATCTCTTCAAATCACTGATTTTTTTTCTTTCTTTTTTTTCGTTCTTTTTTTTTTTTTTTTTGCATTGTGTCCTCCTTTCTCAGGTTGTTTGCCTTTTACATTCATTTCCAACCAATTTTAGATGATAATCAACTTTTACTGTCAGTCGTTTGGGCTTAAAATATAGTCCGGAATAGGCAATGTTTATAATCAGAATCAAAGGGCAGTTTGTAACAAGGAATCCCCCTTGTATAGACAGAAGGCATGGCTATTTCTGAAACCAAGAGAGCAACGAAGTGACAGATTTTCACTTGTAGGAGTTCAAAGATCTATGCTTTTGCCCAAAATTGCGCAAACAAGAAATATTCTATTTGAGTATATGCTTTTGCAGGTTTCATAAAAAGGAAGACTTTAACATGCTGTCGACTTGGCTGATGTTTCTGATATACAAGAATTTAATGGAGATTTCCCCTTTTGAACCCTATAAACATCGCTGGTGGGTTAAAGCACAGAGGATGCTCAAGAAATCAATCTGCGTTAATAGGGATAGATACAGGTAGCTCTGTAAAGAGCATCTATAATTGCCCGAATTTGAATTTAACTTCAATCCCATTAAGGGCGGTTCAAATTTGATCCATTTATAATTGGATCAAACATTGATACACCCCTGTCCGATCCGATAAAATCCAATTTGATTCAATTTAAATATATAATCCTCATATATACATAAAATGTATATTATATGCATTATTAGTAAATATAGTTTGAACGTTGTATTTTTACTAAATTGTCATAGATTGAAGTTTTAAACAAGTAATTTCAATTTATTTTATTGATTTGTGAATACTATTTAGATACCATGTCCTACCCACATAATAGATTTTTCCATAATAGTTTAATCAATTTTAGTTTAATTTACTTATACCATTCAATATTCGATTATAATCCAATTTGAATTCGAATATAAAACAAATCAAATTTGGATATACATATATCCAAATCGATTTGATACAATCTGCTGCACAATTCCTGATTGCTCATTTCTCAACACTGTTCATATGTTCCCCTAATTACTGATGCAACTATTATTATGTATTCCTTAAAAATTAGCCAAGTAGAGAGGCCCAAAGCAATCTAGATTATTCATTTGAGAGAAATAATGGTTTCAGTAAAAGTTTATGCATGCTACGCAGATTTGAATAAAACTTGCAAATTTTGTATACTTCCATCTTTCATAATGAAATCTCCAGTCTCCAATCATCATAAAGAAATGAGGAAAGTGAAAATAATATGCCAAACATATACATCTAAGCCTCACGGAAACACATCAAGGTAGCATAAACCACTCTACTCCCTGTCATTCAAATACCTGGAATCTAATTTGATTGGGTAAAGATCATTGGCAGATGTAGAAGACCCGGTCCATGGCCCATCATTCAATGTATTCCGAGTCTGGCTCTCACTGATGCTCTTATCATCTAAACTTTGGTAATACTTCATCATGTCCTTGTACCTTACTTCACTAGAGGAGATACTTGAATCTGAAACAAGCTCCTGAATAGGGGCTTGGCCTTCAAGCATGCTTACTACAGAAGACATGGCAGGCCTTAGCTCTGCAGATTCATTAGTGCATAAGAGAGCTACATTAATCATTGCCATAACCTGATCCTTGTTGAATTCTGATCCCAACCTTGGGTCCACGAGATCTATCAAGCATCCTTTCGCTTTAAGAATAAGGGCCTATCATAGAAGAAGAAAGTTGGTAACATATCTGTTTATCCGGAATAAGCATAGAAGAAATAAAGAAATAAGCCCCTTTTTTACTGATTGTAATGTCAAGTTACCCAATCAAGAAGATAAATGCGTTCCTCCTTTGGCCTGAAACTAGTGTTGCTCTTCCCACTTACAATTTCCAAAGCAACAATTCCAAAACTGTAAACATCTGCTTTATCTGTCAAATAACCCCTCATTGCATACTCTGGTGCCATATATCCACTGAAAAGTCAAGATTATAACATATTATATTCTACATATATGACACTGCAGTAACCTATGAAAAATTTAGTAATATTGCTTCTAGTATAGTATTGGTTCTCATAACAAAGCCAACATATGTCTTTGTTAAAAGATATTTACATGCACCTTAAATCATTAATTAGACAAATTTAGTTGCCGCTAGACAAGGATAGTCAGAATTTGGAAAAAGTCAGGAATCTCTCATAGTGGATTAAATCCTTTTCCGTTTTCCACCAAGATTTTAATTAGAAGTTAAACATATCATTTATGACTTCTAAATAAAATGTGGAGCATTGTAACTCACTAAGTCCCAGCAATTCGAGTGCTTATGTGGGTGTTCTCCTCTTCATCAAGCTTGGCCAGGCCAAAGTCAGATATCTTAGGGTTCAGATCCTTATCAAGTAGTACATTTGTGGCCTTAATGTCTCTATGAACAATCTTCAATCTCGACTCTTCATGTAGATATGCCAAACCTCTTGCTATTCCAACACATATCTTGTGCCTAGTTGGCCAGTCCAGTTTCAATTGGAATTCTTCTGGACCTGTAAATCATTACATCAAGACAAATTAGAAAAAGCAGTCTGTTATATATAACCAACCCATGTCAGTAGAAAAAAGCAAAAGGAGGCTAAACAAATAATGCCAAGGTTACCAAACAAAGCACGAGCAAGGCTGTTATTTTCCAAGTATTCGTATATCAGCAGTAACTGGTTTCCTTCAATACAACAACCATAAAGCCTTACGAGATGTGGGTGTTGCAAAGCAGAAATCATTCCTATCTCATTCACAAATTCACGATTTCCTTGCTTTGATTTTGAAGAGAGCTGCTTCACTGCTATTATGGTTCCATCTGACAAAATACCCTGCATTTGAGTAGTGATGTGAAGTTTCTTGTAGCATTCATAAGGAAGAAACATATACATTTGAATCAAGGAGATATAGATGAAGACTGTTCTTGTGTAGAATACCTTGTAAACAGGTCCAAAACCACCTTCTCCTATCTTATTTGCATTATCAAAGTTGTTTGTTGCAGCTTTAATTTGCCTCAAGGTAAAGGTACCAGTTTGTAGGTCTACACCTTTCAGATCTGTCAAAAAAGAAGTTAGACAAGGATAATTCATTATACGTTACAAATTTCTTTTCTCCTGTTAGGTTGCATTCTGTACTAGAGGCATCATAATCCACTGTCATGAGCTTGAAAATCATACCCAGAAGGACATGGATGAAAAGAAGATTCTGAACCAAGGGTAATGGAGAATATGGGAAATACATTCATTTTGTTCCTTGGTGCAGTAGTAAAATCATGGGCTGACAAGCATAAGAATGCAAATTTGAATCTCTGAGTTGCCATTTTATGCAAAAAATGCCAAAGGTTAGGTCTGTGTCGAGTCCACCCATCCCAAGAACCTAAATGGCTGGGACCAACATTAGGTACTGTCTCTCTAATATTTTCCTTATATGAACAGCATGAAATCTAGTCTGCATAGAAGACCATCTATAGTACTCATTAGAAGTTATCTGCCACAAGTTGAAAGAGCTAGATGAGCTAGGGGAGGACTGAAAAGGACTTGGGTGGAAGTAGTAAGAAACAATCTAACCACTCATACTTTAACAATGGATATGTACTGAACAGAATTTAATGGTGAAACAGGATTAATGTAGACAATCCCATATAGTTGGGACAAGGTCTGGATGATGATGATAAACAGCATGAAATCTAGTTTACATGTTGCAAATGAGAAACAGAATATATTAAATGCAACAAACAGGAATATTTGGAGCATTTTTCATTTTTCTGGTTTCCTTTTCTAATGATGTCAAAACTCTGCTTGGTTTAGCATGGATTGGAATATGTTGAGAGACACAAAAACCAATTCCAGGATTCAAATGGCCTTTCTCCACATTATTTCAAAACCCCCAAAAAGGCTATTACACAATCTGGGGTCCTGGGACGGGTAACTTTAATATTCCCACTAATCTACTGTACCCCAACCTACTTCCTAAAGATGAAAAAAGGAAAGAAAAAAAGAATTGTGAGGATTTATTCATTTATATAACCAGCTTGCTCTTACCTTGATCCATTGTAGTCTTGTTACCCAGACAGCCTTTCCACCAAAGGAGAACCAAGACCAAGAAGATAAACACTAACACTGTAACAACAATTCCAGCTACAGCACCACCAGATATTCCTTTTCCACCTTCTGAAGGAGGTATAAAATCTGCAAGGATAAACAATACCAAATACCTATGCTTTGTTAAAAATGATTTTTGAAAGAAACATATGATAGAGAGCAATTATCTCAATAGCATAATGGTAAATTAATTTGCAAGGGTTTGTTCTTTTGGCTGTGTCAATCAATATAAATCATAGAAAGGGGTACAGTGAAAAAAGTGAGGAAAAAAGATAATTACTTGTTTTGACATTGTCTATACGAATTACTACTCCTTCATGGTCAATGTATTATACAAGGTTTAAAATGTTAGTGTTGGTGGAAACATCAGTCGTCCAAATATAGGAAATATGTTGGGAATATCACAAATGTCGTATGGAAATACTGTTAAAAATTATAGACATGGTAAAACATTGTGAAATATGCAAAAAATACAGAATGTTATTTTATGTAATGAAAAAAGGTGCATAAGTAGACCATTCTAAATTATTAACTTGTTCCAAATCATCAAACAAAGATAAAAAAACTAAGGTTAATAGGTTAAATTATATGCTATGACGTTGTCCTGTAAACTTTAAGAGTCAAAATTTCATAAGATAGAGTGAGTTTAAGCATAATTTAAACATATAGAAAGTGCAAATTATTCTAATAGATCAACCAAATGATTTATCATATGATAAAAACTATGATTTAATATCATGTTTGAAAAGAAATTCGAGCTGGCTCAAAGTGGTAATCATGTCCATCATACACAGTGCTACTCCACATATTTAAAATACTATTGTCAACTAATTTTATAATACGTGTTGTACTTCACGTAGCACTGGTAGTTTTCATCAGGGAATGTGTCCATTGCAATAACATTTCATGTCAGTACCCAGGGAAATGGAAATATGTTGTGGAAATATATGGACATTTTAAACCATAGTTTTATATTCTTTTCCAAATTATTTACAGATTTCAGGAACAGAAAAAAATTACACCACAGTTATGTTAAGTTTATTCTTTTTCATGGCCTTAGAAAATCAGATTTATATTACCCATTCTAGACACAATCAATTAACTCAGAGATAAAAGTAACCATGAGAAGAGGCTATGGACAAGCATTTGACTTACTAGGTTTTACAGAAATGGCTGATATAAGAGGACCGTAGGTTCCTCTAGAAGGTATTGCTGTTGATCCCTTCCCAGCCCAATAGAGATGGATTTCTAAAGTGCCACTTGTTACATTTACTTCATCTATTTTTTTGATGAATGGCTTCCTAGATCCACCCGCTTCATCTACGATATTGAAATTTTCCAGCACCAAATTTCCCTGCACTTAAATCATTATAATTAGGCATGACTTGTTTAATCTGTTGAATGCATATATTTGTATTACATGGCTAATTACCTGAATATAAACATTGAATACACGCCTCCCAAGACTGCTATAGTTTTTTTCATTGCTAAATATGATCTCCGCAAAATGGAGGTTCACATTGTAACTACCATCCTGAAGACAATATCCTATATAAGTGAAAGAGAGTGGAGAAATGCGTGCATTCTTGTACAGTTCAAGGTCATTTGCCAGATTTGATGTTCCAACATAGATATCACTGTTTCCATTGTCCATGAAATCACCAGTGCTGCTAAAGGCCCAGTTACTAACTTCATGGTAATTTGAAGGACCAGCTGCATCTGAATCAGCTTCATATTTGGTGCCATTAATGTTTAACTCTTGGCCACCACAGTTTATATTAAGCTCGTACAATTCTAAAACAGAAGCAAAATATTAGAGCTGACAGTATGACAGAATATAATCAAGAAAAAGATAAAGATAGAAAGCTGAACCTTCTACTGTGCCTACCATATTCCAGTTCAAAACATGTGGCTTTGGATCCCTCTACCCAAGGAATTCAGAAAATTCATCAATTTGATTTCTTCAGTAAATGGTATTTAAATTTTTTTTGATGGGGGGTTGGGGTTTGGGGTCAATAAGACTATAGGAGAATGAGAAAATGGAAGCTGAATATGTTTCTGTTTTGTGCCTTTCCTTGTACATATCTTCAGTGGGGTTCCGTGATCATGGATACAGAATACACCACGATTAGCCTTATACCACATGAGTTGTGTGTATCGGTATGATACACCTCCATATCAGGTCATATTGGTGGATACGGTCTGATACACACTGATACCATTGGTGCTCGTTTCACGATTCTATTTATTGACCACTTTTGCACTGTTTTCCAGACTTCAATAAAAATTGAAAGATATTATTATAAAAGCTAAAATAGAATTATAATTATAAAAACCGAAATAAATAATTTAAGATTTAGTTTTCCCTAAAAATTTAATAAAACTGAAAAATTAGAAAAATAATTTATTTTACCTACCTTAAATGATTTACATGTTTTATTTTACAATTATATGTTAAAAATGAAAGCATATCTATTATTTAAAAAATAGAGCTATTATTTATATAAAAATACTAAATAAATAAAATTTTCCAAAATTAATGAAAAATAAAAATTATATAATTATAAAATAGAGTGATAATTATTGTATGGTGTGTACACGTTCTAGAGTTACGGTATTGTTGATTGTAATATTCCTCTTCATACAACCTATTAAAGTGTGCATTTTTTCATGTGTTTATACCTTATTCATATATAACTTAGCTTTAGATTTAGTATTATTAATGTATTTATGTGATTTGTATGTGTTTCCGTAGCATATCCAATCATTTCCATATCTTTTGTCTATATCCATGCGTTTCTAAAGTGTATCAGTATCTATATCCGTATCTGAGCTGTCCAATACATACCCGGTACCGATACTTTGATCCTTGCCTAAAATTAAGTAACAAGGATGTCTTAGGGTTCATGTACATGTAGCATCCTTGCCCTTAGGTTCCTCATTGACTAGAGGTTTCCATGCAAATTATAGGTACTGAGCTTTTGTTTTGATAGAAGGAAATAATTTTATTAGAAAGAGGACAAAATCAGTTACAAGTGTCTCAAGGAGAGGCGCGAGCTCTGACCTCCCCCATAATCAAAAACAAAAACAGATTACAGCTGTTCCCAAAACAAGTATTCCCTATTTGTTCCCTGCTTGGCCAAGCTATCAGCCATGGCATTTGCGGATCTCCCCATCCATGGCATTAGGTATCGAGTTTATGAAGAAACACTTTAAAATTTTGGCTTATTAATTGAGTTTTTCCACTTAGTCTGGGTTCTCTCTTCCTCTGTGGCTGATTTAATCTCAGGCTGGAGGATAAATTGCTTCTTGGACAAAGGTTGTTTTCTGTGGAATAGCCTTCCTTTTGCAGTTTTTTGGGTGGTGTCGAAGGAGTGCAATCAAAGGATTTTTTAGTCCAAGTCCAATGCAGTGGAGGTAGTCCTAGGGAAGGTGGAAAGGTTGTGTGTGAGCTGGGCCAGGTGCTTGAAGCTTTTTGTGGATGTGTCTGCCAGCTCTTTCTCTAATCAATGGTGGTCCATCATTTTTGAGTTACATGATCTGTGCATTAAAGGCACACTTCTTTTGTATATGATTGAGGGCTTCTGCCCTCTTCTTTACTATTAATACAATACATTTCTTACCACTTATCAAAAAAAAAAAAAGTTTTGGCTTATCATATTGCAGTTTGGGTTTTGTGCATTGCACTAGTGCAAAACATGTGGCATGGCTAATGAATGAGAAAGGATTGGAAACTACAATGGGAAGTGACTACAATCATGAACTCAAGTTAAATCTCAAGAAAATGACCAAGACATCAATAATAGTTTCCTGATTGAACAAGGCTTCATGTGGAAAATTCAAAATTTTGTGCAAGGAGGTAATAAAACACAAGTTGCCTAGTTTTCATGTGGAGATTTTGAAGATTTTTCAAGGATTTCTCAGGCATAGAAGGAACAACCTATATGGCAATTCAAGTTTTAGAAGGAATTCTCTTTCAGGGATCAAGTTTCCAAGGGAATCATCTGAAGTAGTTAAAGAAAGAGATTATCCTCTCATTGCAAAGGTCCCCACACCAACTTCCCTAATAAGATTTCTTATTTCTATCATTGTTTTGTTTCATTGAGTTGGTCTTGCTTTCAAGCCTTCTTTTAGTTCAAGAGATTCTTTGTCAAAGTGCATCAATTCGTAGCACTCTTAAAGAGTTGTTCCCTGCCTTGTACAATGTGGCAACAGAAAAGGAAGCCTTGGTGACTGATTCCTTCATGATGGATGATAGTAGACTGTGCTGGACTCCATCCTTTAGGAGTTCTAATGATTGGAAGCTTCAGCAGATAGCAGACCTCCTTGCATTGTTACAAAAGTAGCAGCTAAACATTCAAACACAGGACACAAGAATTTGGAAGTGGAATAAGTCAGGAGTTTTCACAGTCAAATCCTTTTGCAATTTTCTAGTGGGGAAGGATGAAGACCCTTTTCCCAGTCAGGCCATTTGGGGGAATATGGCCCCCTCAAAAGTCAAGTTTTTGGTTTGGTGACAGCTTTGGAGAGGTGCCTGTCCAAAGAGATGTTACTGAAAAAAAAGGCTTTAATATTTCAGATTTAGTTTGCTGCCTATGCAATATGGAAGTGGAGTCCTCTAGGCATCTGTCCCTACACTGTAAGTTCAGCACAGCAGTGTGGAATCACTTTTTGAAGGCTTTGAACCTAATTTGGTGCATGCCAGTCTCAGTTAGAGCTCTGTTCAGAGTGGCATTTACCTGGGTTAACTAAGGGAAAATATGTGGTCAGAAAGGAACAACAGGATTTCTGGTCAGAAAAAAAAAAATCCTTCTTTTTCTTCCAACTGTGCCCAAAATGGTTCATCTCTCCCCACCCCTTGTTTCATTAGTTTATGAACCAAAGTATTAGCAATCCTTTTGACCCATTGCAGACTCACTTCCATATCTTTTGTCAACCATCTGAATTTCTTTATTTCATTTCTGTAATTCCACATCTTTTCCTCCTCGCTTTATAGTGAACCCACCACCAATTTGTAGTCCCTAATGATTAATTTTCTTATATTCAAACTCTTTTCCCTTTGCACTCCCTCCAACATTACCATATTTTCAGCCCTTAGATTATCACTCACACCAGTTGGATAGAAATAAAAAGGCTATGCTGAAATTATCTTGAAATTCTATCTTCTACTTCTCTCTCTTATATTTTTCTTTTCTTAAACTAGATTGTTTCCCTTTGAAATAAATATATAGATATGAATGACAATAATTTTGTTATCATAAAGAAAAAAATAAAACAGTACCATCACAAATATACTTGAAAAACATAAAGGCAGAGAGGGAGAGAGAGAGAGAGAGCAATATTCATTATTCTAGTTTCAAAAGTACTTACTTTTTTCTGGACACTGGGAAGACCGCAAGCATGAGACAACTCCAGTTCTAGGTCAATAACAGTTCATTATCAAGTCAGATTTATGATTTATTACTATGTGTTTTGCCATGTAATATATGATAAGCAACAAAGTTCTTTCATAGGTATTTGTGAAAATATGATAGACTTACAAGTTATTTCCAAGAGAGGAGGAGGTTCTGAATAAGTTTCTGGGGAAAATAGTAACAAAGATTTTAGTAATAGAAATAGTTTACCACATCAAAAGGATAAGACTACAAAGTATGAAGTGACAAGTAAGTAATTTAGTATTCATACAATTTCCGTTGTTGACAAGAGGGAGCTGAGTTTTGTACTGTAAGGTTGTTGTAGGAAAGATCACTGTACAAAAACAGTTTAGTTCAAATAATCATCTTCTTGAATAAGAATAATAAGAACTATAATTTGGCATTACTATGGCACAAAATATCAGTTTCCTTCAATAAAATGACACTTTATTACAGATTGACTGTAAACAAACTATTGAGTACTCATAAAAATAACTTACATGACCTCTCCTCTTTGCAGCCATCTATCAGGCACAGGTCCACTTAGCAAGTTTGCACTTAGATATCTAATAAACAGTCCACAACAAGGATGTAATGTGATTGAGAAGCTTTTTTATTGTGCCAGAAATGTAAGAGTCCACACAATAATTTACCACAAAATAAATTAAAGCTATAAAATTGGATTACATACATAAAATCCACGCTTGACAAGGCATCATATGTACTGGGAATTTCTCCTGTTAGCCTGTTAAAACTGAGGTCCCTGTAGGAAAAGAAGGAATTTTATTGAGAGAAAGGTAAGGTAGTTACATTTTTTATCAATAATAATTTAGAAATTTTATTAATGATCAAAAATAAGAGAGAGTACATAATATGCTTAGAAAGGTAGATAGCCTCAGCTAGCTGCCCCTGCAGGTAAGGTAATTTCATTATATGATACTATAAATGTATGCAAGTATAATTCATGTAGAGCTGGAGTGAGTAGCATATACGTGATAAAGCTAAAGTACATTATATGTTGCTGGTCCAATACTTTCTTTACAACATGTGACTATACAGTATTATATGTGTTGTCTCTAACCAAAAGGAGTCATGATCAAAATACTCCTGGTGGGGAATACCTTTTGAATAGCTCATGAGCTGAGAGCCAAGAATGCAAGGCTGCTACAAGTCTACCTAATCACTTCGGCCTCAGACTTAGCTTTGTTATTAAATATCCTGCTATCTTTTCCTTCCAAATCACCCACATCACCACTGGACGGAATGTTCTTCATAAGAGTTTGCCTCGCTTGGTCAAACCCTGCAGCTTCCAGCTTCTGAGCTGCTCCCTAACAGATCTTGGATAGCACCAAAAGTAGTTCATCATGCTACAAAAGAAATCCCATATACTTCTGGTAAAGCAGAAGCCAATAAAGGGATGGTCGACAGATTCCAAATGGGACCCACAAAGAAGACACTCCGATGAGCTATGATTAATGCCCCTGTGCATTAGAGATTCCTTTGAAAGGGTCTTTCCCAGGACAGCAGAACACACCAGGAAATTTATTTTTGATGGGACATGAGGCAGCCAAACATCTCTCCAAGGTAAGCCAGCAGCTGAAGGTCCCAGCAGCTTGATGTAAGATGATTTGACTAAGAACACTCCATCCACCTCCAGCATCTCTCATCTCCCTTATCTTGTGAGGGATTTCAACTCTGAAGCAATGAGAGAAGTTTAAGCAAGTCCTCAATCTCTCAATCATTTAACTGCCTCCTAAAGGTAGGACACCAATTCTTGGAATTTCCATTCTACTGAAGCTATTAGCCACCAGAACCTCCCATTTTAAACAATGAGAAAAAGAGACGGGGAAGTGGGAACTCTTCCATTAAAGGACTATTCCCACACCAATTATTCAACCAAAACCTGACTTGAGTTCCCTTACCGAGCTTGAATCCTATACCCATCATGAACTGTTGATGAACTTTCTCTGCTCCCTTCCATACTGATGCAGCCAAACAGAGAATTGCCTGTATCTAGGTCCCAATTGAAGTTGACGGTGCCAAACTTCTCTGTAACCATCTTCCTCTACAAACGGTCAGGGGAAGTATTATATAGCCAATGCCAATGATCTAGAAGTGTAGGTAACTCTCAACCTACTCAAACTACACAGGGCATAAGGAGAAAGATGTAAAGTCTACTGGTGAAAGGCTGATAGAGTCTCCTCCTGTGGATCCAAGTTCTGAACCAGGTAACTCTCAACCTGTCACTTCTCTTGATGATGATGATGTTTTATCTAAATTTTATTGAACCTTCAATTGATGATCTTCATCTTCCTATTGCTCAAAGAAAAGGTGTTAGGAAGCATACCATTCATCCTATTTTTAAGTGTGTCTTACTATCATTTTCCCACTTCTTACTTGGCCTTTCTTTCTACTATCTCTTCTATTCCTGTTCGGCTGTTCCTAAAAGTGTTTCTGAAGCTCTATCTAAACCCGAATGGGAGGTTGCTGTGACAATGGAATGAAGGCTCTAATTAAAAATGAAACCTAGGAGTGGGTTGATCTACCTAAGGAGAAGGATCCAGTAGGGTGTAGATGGGTTTTCACTGAAAATACAATTTAGATGATCTGTAGAACAGTAGAAAGTTTGGCTGGTTGCCTAAGGGTATACTCAAACTTATGGTTTGGATTATACTGAAACATTTATTCCTATTGCTAAGATGAACTCTATCAAAGTCCTAGCTATTGTTGCTCAAAAATCTTGGCCCTTATACCAGTTAGATGTGAAGAATGCATTTCTTCACAGTAACTTGAAAGAACAAGTGTATATGCTTCATCTTCCAAGTGCTGTCATCCCTTCAGGAAATGTTTGCAGACTAAAGAAGTCTATCTATGGGTTGAAGCTCCCTATAGCCTAGTTTAGCATTGCTATTAAGAAGTTTGGGTGCTCTTAGAGCCAGACAAACCATACATTGTTAAGAAATTGGTGTGATTAGCCAATGTATGCATGTTCTTCATATTCCTCATCTTGAAGCAGTTAGAGGATTTTTAGATATTTAAAATCCTCTACTAGGAGAGGATTATTTTTTACTAACCATGGACATTTGTAGTTAGAAGATTATAATCATGCAGATTGGGCTGGATCAGTTGATAATCGTAGGTTCACCTTTGGGTATTGTATCCTTCATGGAGGTAACTTGGTGGCTTGGAGAAACAAGAAGCAAAACGTTGCAGCTTGTTCTAGTGTATAAGCAGGATTTAGATCCATGGTGAATGGTGTATCCAAATTGTTAGGCTGAAATTTCTATTGAAAGAACTCAGGGGTAGAGTCCCAAGATTGTATTAAGTTATATTGTGACAACAAAGCTGCTATTAATACTGCCCACAATTTGGTTCAGCATGATTGCACTAATCATGTGGAAGTTGATAGGCACTTTATAAGGGAGAAGATTGTTAGAAAAGAAATTTCCTTCCCATATGTCAAAACCAATGATCAGCTAGAAAATGTTTTCACCAAGGGGATAACAAAGAAAAAACTGAACACAATATGGAGCAAGATGAGCATGATATGTTCCATTTGAGGGGAGTGTAGAAATACATGTTAAGTGTATTAAAGATGAAAGAAAGGAAAGGCAAAGATTTAAACCATTCTACTGAAGAATAGGCTAAGAAGAAACCATAAAGGTCAAACCTTTATGGTGGCAAACGTGAATTTCAAAATTATTCAGCCCTAGGAGAGATCGAATCTCTCAAAAGAAACAAGTTTTCTCACAGGATTGACTTAGAATCATTATGCCAAATTAGTTTCCAGAAATTGGGTAGAATGTTACTATATATAGAGTCCACAAGTGCAGCTCCCTAGGTGGTAAACATGCCCAAAGAATCAGGTCCAAAAGATCTCCAAAGCTGAAGATGGTGCAGCCCAAAAGTGGAGATCATTCTTGCTAGATTATCAAGAGAATTGATGCCGAATACGTTGCACTCTCCAAGCTTGATTGAATCAACAATGGTGTGCTTTCTCTTGTCACTCAAAAGGCTGTGTTTTTCTGTATAAAGTAAGGTGGGAGAAGAAAAATAGGTCCTCTTTGCCCTTAGGTTGAACTAAGGTTGCAAAGGCAAGACGTTTTGTCTTCATTGCTTAACATGGTCTCCCTTCTCTACAACTTTTATAGCTTTGACTCTTAGAGTCCAAGTAGAAGTTTCCTAATCACTCTTCTAGCTGATTAGGAAGCTGCAAATTAGCAAACAATCCTAATCAACTTAGGATAAGGGAGGTCTAGTTAGTTTCCTCTTCAACCTTAAGTTTCCAACAAACTATCTACCTAGTCAAACTAGGAAGTTGGAAACAAATTGGCCTCTTAAGTAATCCTAATTCTCTCATAACTTTTGACTAGCCATTGAACCTTATCTTTGTGTGGCATGGGAACCACAAAGATCTCAATCTAAACCAAAAGGGCTCAGCCCACACCTTCATACACCGGTCAAATTCACTAAGTCATACTTAGCAAATTGTCCAAACACATTGGACCCAAATTCAGCCCAACATTATGTTATAACTTTGACTTGGGTTTCAGCCATCCTATGAGCCCAAGTGCATTAGTTTAGACCAAGAAATGCCTGTTAGGTTATAGGCCCAACAAGACATTTGTAGTTAATCTCTCAATCAATACTATCCAAACATTGTCAACAGGGAAGGACCTCTTCCGTAACTGCAAGATGCAGTGTCACACCCTCCACTTAGATGGATCCTATGATTAAAACCATTTTGCAAACTCTATAAAATAAACTATTTATAAATATAAGTACATTTTGCAAAACCAATTTCAAAACAAGTTGAAATCCACTATTGGCAAGGACCTTTTCTCTAATTGCAAGATGTAGTGTCACACCCTCCACTTAGATGGATCCCGGAATTAAAACCATTTTGCAAACTCTTTATGAAAATAAATTATTTATAAATATAAGCCATTTTGCAAAACCAATTCCAAAACAAGTTGAAATACACCGCCGGCAGTTTTAGGTTTCCATCAAAGAGAGTGTACTTTGGGATATTCTCTTTGTCTAACAAAGTGCTTGTTCTTAAACACCCACCCACTATACCTTAGGTCTAAGTCTAACCTAAGCAGTTTAGAAAGATTGCTCCACCAACTTGGCAGTATAGGAGTATCGGCCTTGATATGATAAACTCTCCAAGTTCATCATTCAATTGAGAATGTTTAAGCTTACATAAATCTCATAAACATACAACTAAGGGGTAATTCACAAAAACACACTTTAACACACATGAAATAATAATGTACTGATTTTATTCAACAATAAATGTCAGTATACATCAAACTAATGGAGATAAGGGCATACGTAGTCTAACAGTTAGGTGCATTAGAGAGGAGGATCAAAGAGTCTTGGTAAAAGGTAAGTCAAGGAAAAATGGAAAAAACTATTTTAAAAAATTATTAAATGAACAACACTTAGAAGGCAATAACGGAGCTGAGATTAGTCATATTAATAGTGTTGGAAAAAACATGTACCTTCAACCCATTGTACAATATGGGTCGAAGCCAAATAAATGGGTATCATGTATTATATGGTCCCCAAGTAGAGCAGAAATCATGTGAAAATCTCCTACACAACAAAATACACAGGATTTGGTTTCCCACTAAGGTGCTCCTAGGTAAACTTATTAAAAATCTTTTAGCCTGTTAGGTGTATTAAGGGGGAAGATTGTCACAAGATCAAAGAGTCTTTTAACACACAGGATTTGGTTTCCCACTAAGGTGCTCCTAGAACAAATCATGCTCTAATCCTTTAAACGCATTAAAAATCCAAGGAAAATAAACTTCTTATGAAATCTTGATGAATATGCACCACCATGGAGCTAAGTTTTGATTTACAGAATACAGAGTGAAAGACAAAGGTACTAGTTTGGGTAAATCTCGTTTTGTCACTAGGTAGATCCCCAGTGAAAAGACAAAGCATATCTTTCTTTGTGATGACAAAAGAAAATATAAAGTATCATTTTTGTCTTTTGAAGGAAATACCTCAATATTACTTAGAGGTCTAGGAAGATTATCAAAAATGGGATAATACCAAATCACAACCCTAAATTAAAATAGCATGTGGTAAATAAGTTCATTATTTCCCTTAAGTGTGTGTGTGTGAGAGAGAGAGAGAGAGAGAGATACAAGGTTTTCAGTGTTGTCATGCTGGTAATTTCTGAAGGCAGAGTTCCATTAATGTTGCAATTCCTCAATATCCTGCAATACAAAACTAGTTTTAATTAAAATCTTCAAGTATAATGGATAAACTTATACTTAAAGTGTTAGAAATATATAACCATTCAACTTACAGTGTCTTAATGCCCTTATTCAACTTTGGAAAAACACTTTCTGATCCATTTAAATCACTAATCCTCCTGCATATAAAAATTTCACCAAGAATAACTATGGAAATTGTTCCACTAAAGATCATTAGAAAAATAAACTAAGGGAATAGGTAAGAAATAATCCTTTTTACTCACAGATCGCTTAATTTCGTCAAACCAGAGAAGTCAGAAGGAATGGGGCCTTGAAGACCGCTTGCTTGCATTACTCTGTCATTAAATTTTAAGCACAACAATGAGGCCAAAAAGGCCACCTGAAATACTACTTTTTAAAAATCAAATATCACTTACAATTTTGTGAGGCTTGTCCAATTCTGTATCATACTAGGTATCTTTCCACTAAACTGGTTGTCGCTTATTCGACTGCACCACGTCAAATAATATTAATTACTAGCTTGAGAATACGATTAACCATGAGGGAGGAAAAAGAGAAAGAAGTTCTAGATTTGAATAAATAAAAAATACACCCATTCCACAGGAACTTACAGGTCACTCAAGTTGGCCAGATTAGAGAATGTCTCGGGCAACTGCCCCGTGAAATTATTTGAGGAAAGTAGCCTAAAAGCACCCCCGACATTGAAAGAGAACAAAGTGATCAGTCCTTCAAGAATATGAAAACTGGAGAAAAGACAAGAAATCAAACACCCAGTAGAGAATGAAAGAAAAGCCTTACAGTCTCTCCAAATTGATCAGACTCCCAAGCTCTGGAGGAATAGTTCCAGACAAGCCATTGGACTCCAGGACTCTGAAATTCAAGCTACTTTAAGTAACTAAATGAAAAACAAATTGAAGTACGTACACAAACGGAAAACTGAAAAATTGAAAACTCACAGTTCTCTGAGAGTGGTGATGTTTCCAATTTCTTTGGGTATCGAACCCGATAGTCGGTTGCCGATAAGGGAGCTGCACGCAATGATAACTCTCGATTAATTTTAGACCAGAAAACCTTGCATGAGAATGGAGAGTAAGTGTACTTACATGATTTCCAGCTTCGAAGAACCCCATTGCCGAGGGATTGTACCGTTTAGGTAGTTCCTAGTGAGATCACTGTCGAGGTTTGCAGTTAAGTTAGTTAGCATTTCAAAAAGCAATCACAGTGAATAATGGGAAGAAACTAGGAAGAACAGAGCGGCTCGCTCTTACATTTCTTTGAGGTAAGGAAGCTTGATCAGCTCTGGCGGAAGCACCCCTGGTAGACCCTGACCTTTGAGGACTCTGCAATTCAAACGAATAACCGGTTATCTTTTTGGAAATGATCTTTGAGGAGTTTGCAAGATGAGAGCGCGCTCATTGGAATTGGATCACTGGTGTTTTCCGGGAGACGATGAAATCAAAAATTTCACCTTCACCCTCTCGCTACTGAGACCGGATCTGCTCCTCACAACGACCTCACGGGCACATCCCACCATGAGATGTTCTGGTGGGATGAGCCTGTGAGGTCATTGTGAGGCGCCCTGTGTAAGAAGCAGATCCCAATTGCTCGCTACTCGCTAGCGCTCAGATTGCAGCAGCGACGCGCCAATCAAGATTCAAGAGACGTCATTGGTGCGTCGCTGCAACACTAATTAAATTCGCGTCACTGTCACGCGCCATTTATGTGCAAGGAAATATGGGAAGAAGAGTCGTACATGTTGGTGACGTGGCATTCGGTGTTGAAGCAGTTGCACGTGACGTTATTTTGGTATTCAAGAATGGAGACGCGGATCCAGTCGTTGCACGGATCCACGTTGAAGTCCCAGTCGCTCTTGTTCAACCTACTCGCTATTTCACGCAATGCAGCCACTGCGGCAAAAAGGAAAAAAAAAAAAGATTATTAAAATTAGAAAACTCAGAAATTGTGGCTAATTCTAATGAAAATTTTCCGTAAAAATGTATTGTTTTATTAAGGTCCATTTGGCTCACAGAATTGGAAATGGAATGGGAAATGGGAATCATTTACTCTCTTTGCCTGATTGGTTGGGATTGGAATCAAAATCAAATTCCACAAGATATATATAACTCTCCAGGAGTAGGTATAAAGAAATAGGGCTCGGAAAACAATTCGAACAGTTAGGATGAAAATGAATTACTTCAATTCGAATTGGAAACCCCTGTTCCTATAAACCAAATGGACCCTTAAAATTTTACGGAATTTCATTCCAATGTTTAGGGGGCCATTTGGCCATTTGGGTATAGATATACTATGTTTTTAATTAGAAATCATAGACTAATGGTGCACATTTTTATTATGTAAATTAACTTTTCTTTTTCAAAATGATCAACATTTTACATTTGTATCTGAGATCTCCACTATAACCCAAATTCTGTAACCAGTGGAAAACATTTTTCCACAGAGTGGGTAATACATGAAGATTTCCAGGTCGGGTTTCTAATAAGGCTCTAATTGGTTGCACATAAATTGAAAGAAAAAGAAGATTTCCAGAAAATGCTAGTTTGTTGTTTTAATTTGCAAGTAAATTTGTGTGGAAATGGAACAGTGGAAAACATTTTTCCACAGAGTGAGTGATGAATGAAAGAAATCAAATGACATTCAATTCCTAAGTTAGCTAAACCCCAGGAAAATTAGGAATATGATGATTTGTTTCTCCATTGAATACTATGTTTCAAGCCATTCATTTTCCTTTTCCTGTCCGCAAATAATCAGCCAAAATCAGCAAAAAAGAAAGGAACTAAAAACCCAATAAGCAGCAGACTGTTATTTATGGGGGGATTTGATTCTTCAGGCGCCCAAAAAAACAGAGATATATTTCAGTGAAGAAGAAGAAGAAGAAATTGAGAGAAACAGTTCCAGAAAGAAAATCCCAGTAAGCAGTTACAGAATTATTGTCTCACCTTCATCGGCCACGAGAGTCGCATTATTCTGAGCAGCTCCAAACTCGAACGCCAAAAAGCAACTGAACCCAAAAACCCAGATAATGAAGGAACGTCCTAAGCCCATCTGCAACACTCCAGCTCAAGCTGGAAAGATATGATCAAGAAGAAGAAGTAATATTATTCTCTGAATTTGGAACGTCAGACATGAAGTTCTCCTTCGTCCCTGAAATCAAAACGTCTGAATCCTCCGGCCGGCTATGAACTTCCGAAGCTCCAGCGCAAGTTGAGCAGCCGAGCTTTGTTTACTTGGACTCTATGAATGACTGAAAACTTATCTTTCCATGCCAGACGAAGAAAGAAAATTTAAATAAAGAGATTTGGCCTTGCCATGATAGCAAAACAACAAGCATGATGGAGACTTGCTGATATTTTATTATAATTACCTGCCTTACGATTGGAAATTACCCAACCTTTGCGCAGAACCTACTCAAAGTGATCCATACACCAGCCTCACAGCTACGTCCCATCATATAAATAATAACATATAAGTACGGGAGATATTCCCAATCTACTATGAGGAACTAAATTCCCACTACTCGTGTATATACAACATCTACATCCATACATAATAAAGAACATTTCTTGTATTATTTATTGTCATTCATAGGCGATATTCGCAACATGCAGCTGTGGTGTAGTGCATGGTTTTTAAAACCGGATTGGATCGAATGGTCAGACCAGAAAAAGGGGAAATCAGTTCCATTTTTCCCTAAATCTGCTTTTATCCTTAAAACCGTTGATTTTGTTCAGCAAACCGCTGAACTGGCCGATTAACTGTTAGAATGATTTTAACTATTTTTCAATTTTTTTTATTTTTTATCAGAACAGGCCGATCGTTCAGATTGAACAATCGAACTGTTTGAACCAGTAACCAGACCCCTAACCGGTTTGGTTTTAAAAACCATGGTGTAGTATGTACAGAGTGGCCCTCCCAAGTCTCCATTCCCTGATCCTACCAATTGGGCCACTATGAGAATAGGTAATATTAAGGTAGAATTATTCATTCTAAATCTATTACCCACAAATTGTTCCTATATCTTTGCGAGTTCCATTTCAGTCAGGGCAAAGCCGGTTTAAGCACTTTTTTACTGCCTTACATTGAAAATATCTTTGTACTTGTACCAATTTATTTTATGAATTTAAATCAATCTTCCACAAAATTACCCCCACAACATATTCTCGTCATGTATTGAGAACGTCTGATAGAAGCAGATCCGAGACTATAATTATTGAGAACGTCTGATAGATTCAATCATTGAAGAAAAATACAGCTGGCTCTAACAGGATAGGCGGGAAAGCATGAATCAATCCATGGAGTTGACTGGGGCTCTTTGTATCAAAGAGGAAATATGGCAGATGTTAAAGCCACGTAATAAGTAATCAGAAAGGAGGCGTGACATTAATAGGAGCAAAAGTTAGTCTGTAAATGAAAAGGTAGTCAACTCTAGCCAATTTGACTTTCTCTAAGCAAGTGGTGCAGGTGGCCCGGGCCCCTGGGCCATATAAGCCAGATGCTTCTGCTCCTTTTTTTGGCTTCTTTTGGATCGTGATCTGCTTGATATTTTCTTTTTAGGGTAAATTACAGAGGCACCCTGTATATTTTGGGGGTGGTAACGCTTTGCCGGCTGAACCTTGCTTTGTTACAAACACCCCAAAACATTTAGATTCCAGTAATTTGCCCCCTGATTTCTAGGGATGCAAGCAGATTTGATCGGATTTAAATTAGGGTATATTTAAATTGTATCTGAAAATTCAATCAGATCTTACGATTATTGATTTAAATCCGAATCTGAATTTGATTTAATTTCTAAAAAAATAATTAATTATTAAAATAAAATAATGGTTTATATAAAAAAACAAAATATATAATTATTTTTTAACTATTTTCATCATATATGTGTGTGTGTATCTGGGGGTGTCTTTTTATAAAAGAATGTGAAGTTGCAATATAAACATATTGATAAATAAATAAATAACTTATATATAGAGGTCAGATTGGATAGGAGTGATATGAATTCAATCCGATTTCCTATATCCAATCCAAAAATAAATAAATCCAACAAAATAGGATCAATAGGGGTGATCCAAATTTAATCCAATTTTTCAATTGGATCCTATATCCGATCTAATCTAATCCAAAACTCAAATAAGGGGATATATAAATCCGACAAAATAAGATCGGATTCGGTTTGCACCCCTACTGATCCGCTAATGGGGTTTATTGTGAAATTAAAATTATTAAATTGCCTATTAAATATTTTATAGCAGACATCAATAGATATTAAAAATGATGAAAAATAACCATTCTATTCTAAGGCATAAACTGTTTTCAAGGCATTTTAGGGATGAAGTTTGTTAGAAGAGAGTTGAGAAAAAAAATGTGAGAGTGTGATTTTAGAAAATTAAAGTTAAAAGAGCAAAGTGGTCTCATAAAATAAGGGTTAATTGGGATTTTAGAAATATTTCATGGTGTTTAAGCTGTATTTGGTTTGAAATCCCGTTCTTACCCTTACCCTTTTCTTTTAAACAAAACTCAGCCTTAATTGACGGAATGCTAACGAAAAAGGGCTAACTTGCAAGAATTTAGAAGTTCAGATGGGTCCTTATCTCCGAACAAAATCCAGGAGGCTATATATCACTACTCCTTTAACTTTAACACAGAGGTTGTTTGTAATTACCCTTTTAAATTCGGAATTTTTAGTATTTAATCCACCTATGCCTAAATATTCACCTTAACTGTGCGATTGAATTATGAATTCTGAATTCTGAATGATAGAAACCCCCTTTTCTTTAACTAATGGCTGTTGGAGGTTATTTGCATTGGCAAAAAATTGGGGGCCCACTCTTTTAAAGAAATGGGGCCCAACTCTGAAAAGTTGAAGTTGGTGAAAGTTAGCTTTGTGATTAGATTAGATTAAATAATTAAGGGTGTCCCCACCCCACTTGTCAAAAAAAAGATGATATATCAATGCATAGCATAACCGTCTTCCTCAATCAATTCTACGTAGGTATTCAATTTTGGCTGCCTAAGAAATCTAGAGGGACCCTTGTTTGGTTGAGTCAACTTGGGCTTCAAACGAGACGGTCTGAACGATGAGGCTTAAGTCATGTCATGCACATTCATTACTTGTAGCATTTTTCCATTAATAAGGTTCCATTTGGTTCGTGGGAATAGGGTCTAGAATTAGAATTGGAATGAAATATTTAGATTCCAATTGTTTGGTTGGACATAATTAGAATTCCATTTTCCTTCTTGTTAGAATGGCATTTCCCAATTTAAAGAAATGTCCATTTCCTATCTCTACTTTGAGAATGAAATCTTATTGCTGCTGATTCCAATGCTTATTCTCATTTTTATCTGAAATAAGTAGATTATTGGAATAGATCATTCTGATTCTGAGTCTAACTGCAAACCAAATGGACCCTAAGGTTGAGTTTGGAAGGAGTACAAATGTAAATATGTAGTGTAAAACCTTATATTTTGTATTATTTTGTATGTATTTACGCTGTACATATTTGCATTTGTACTGCTTCCAAACTGAGCCTAAGTAATTTAATTACTCAATTAAGGCCCGTTTGATTTGTGGGAATTGGGGTCTGGAATCAGAATTAGAATAGCCCATTCCTATTCTAATTATTTGGTCGAACGGAATCGAAATCCCATTCTCATTCTTGCTGGAATGGAAAATGATCGTTCCCTTTCCCTCTCTTGGGAATGAAATACTGTTCCTATTGATTCAAATTCCCATTCTCATTCTTGTCTGAACCAAACATACTATGGAAATAGACTATTCCAATTCTGATTCCAAAGGATTCCAATTCCAGATGTGAACCAAATGGACCTAATATTTGAATGATTCTCAGAAGTCAGAAAAATTGTTAAATCAAATTTCATTTTCGCAAATGGGTCCGTACTTTTTATGAGGAAGAGAGTGATATTGATTAGTTGTTTATTTTCTGATTTTAAAGAAAAAAATCAAAAAGTTGATTTTGAATTGAGGAGAATATTCTATCATGAGCATCAGAATGATTTCAAAACAATTATGGGTTCGCATGTAGGGTTCGAATTTAATAAGTTTTACAATCTTATTAAAAAATATTCAATCATATTTTTTAAAATATTAATATATATATATACACACACATATATACATTATTTTAGTGGGGATCCCATGGGGCAGATAAAGGGGTCCCCACAAATGGGGAATGCTCTCTCCATCCCGTCCCCACCAACCAGGATGAAAATTTCTCCATTTCCATCCCCATAGGAGATAAATCATCGCATCCCTACCTCATTCGGAGTGGATCCCCACACGGATCAGAGAAATGGGAAAATTTTCCATCCCGAAAGCCAAGCATTGCATTCTAATTGAAAACATATTATAGTTGGGAAAGAATCGATAAGTATCATTCCTGTTTAAGAATCTCAGAAGATTATCCTTCTCCATTTTTCCCTTGTAACTCTCTCATTCACTCTTCTCAATTTTCTGCTCAAATGCCTCTCACCAACTGCAAACAATGAATCAGGTATGTCCTTCCCCTGCTTTGAGAGCGCAAATATTATATTCTTTTTTGAATTATAGACTGCTCAATGAACACAGTCCCGTTTTTCTGAGAAGCCCTGTTGTGGACTACCTGTTTTTCAGTAAATAATTAATAAATTGGCAACTAATTATTTTTCACTAATTTTTTTAAAAAATTTAATAATTACTATATTATTGAAAATAATTATTTTTATTAATGACAGTTATTTCTAGAAAATAAATTTCAGTAATTATCATTAATTATATTTCTATAGTAGTTATAATAATCTGTTTTACCGAAATTAATTTTAGATAGTTCTTCTAATCAAGAATTTAATTAATTATTTGTTAGTAACTAATTATAACTATTTAGTTTTTGTAATTTAATTTTCAAGAAATCAATTATTTACTCATAAATGTATAATTAATCTAGATTGTTTGCATAATTTATTTTGTTTTTGTTTATTCGGTCAAGTTTTTGATATGATACCTGCTTTTGTAATTTTTCAAAAGAACAATGGAAATACTATTGTTTATTAATAAAACAATATTCATTAGATCCAGATATCATCGGCTATAGTAATTATTGTTTTTTAAGCTATGTCGACCTTTGAAAATAATAAAATAAAAACTCCCCTGACATCTTTCAAATAATAGTTAATCAATTTTTTGATTTTTCCATGCATCGCAAGGGGTCCACTAATATCTTTATTAGAGATATTTACCTTCAATTTAGTGTAGTTGATAAAAATTAAATATGATAACATAATGTGAGCTTATATGTTACCCTTTATTTGATGCAAGCAATATCTACATATATATAGGATTATATAATAATAATAATAATAATAATAATAATAATAATAATAATAATAATAATAATAATAATAATAATAATAATAATAATAATAATAATAATAANATAATAATAATAATAATAATAATAATAATAATAATAATAATAATAATAATAATAATAATAATAATAATAATAATAATAATAATAATAATAAAATTAGATTGAGTCGGGTTAAATCCACATCCAATCTAATTGTTATTTGGATGCAAACTCTAACATCTAAATATGAGATAATTGGACAAGATGTCTGCTGGATTTTAATCTTATTAGAGATTAAATCTAATAGGGTTTAATTGATAAGTTACATGAAAAACATACATGCACACATATTTTGGAAAATTGTTTTTTTTCTTACTAAAACCAGTTTTCAATTTGTCCCACATTGGAAAATTACTAGGACTGTATTTGGAAACAACGCAAAATGGAGTGTAAATCCCAGTTCAGGGTAAATTTGCACTCTAGTTCACTTTTGCCTGTGTTTGTCAACATTATATTTATGCATTGACAAATGACAAAAAACACATTTTTCAATGCATATTTATATTGATAATAAGATGTAAAAATACTTCAATAAAAAAGACCTAAATTTGCATTCAAGTGGGCTTTTGATAAAAAAAAAGGGATAATAGAATATAAGGGCAACTTTTTGCCCTTAATATCAATAAAAAATACTACTTTTATATAATAACCAAAAAGGGGTATTTTTTGGGGGAAATATCAAATAAAGGTAGTGTCATTGTTCATCATCTTCCTCTGCCTATAAGTCCTCCAACGATGGCCTACCACCCTATCAACTAAAACTGTGTAAATCCTCTTCCTCGACAACCGTGTACTAGATGTAGAGAAAGACGATCGTAAACTTCAGGTTCACAAACCTCGTCAAGGCAAAGGCCTACAGTTTACAGATCTGTGCTTCAAATGCAGACAACGTGGTACATCGGTACTTGTCGCTGTGGGAATTGTAGCGAATCAAATTAGGAAGACGGTGTACGTCGGTACTTCCTCCAGCATTGGTAGTTCTGCTAGGTTCACATCAATTGATGTATTCTGGGTTTCTTCTTTAGTTGCACAAGATAGAGTGGGTTTCTTCTTTAGGTGCACAAGATAGAGTGGGGTATAGCCTCGATGGATGGATATTTCCATTTGAACGTTAATGGAAGTTGAGATGTGCAGTTCTTCAAAGCTAGATACAAAGGCAAAGTAGTCCATAGGAATGCCTCCTCTGCTCCCTCCTACACTATCGAAGCGGGTGAATACAGAGGCAGAGGAGGAAGACGAGTGACTGCCCTTTTATGATATTTTTCTAATAAAAGTTGTCCCATTTTGATTATATGTAAAAGTATTAATTTTTATTGATATTTAGAGCAAAATGTTGTCCTTATATGTTAGAATCATTAAAAAAAAAGACATATGCTTTATTGAAATTCATGTTTGCATCCATTATAGCTAAAAGTCTATTTGGTAAGAAGGTAAATTTGTTTGTGCAAAACAAACCCAACTTTGCAATTTATGTGGATCGTTTTACACTCTACATATTTGCATTCACATTTATTTAAATCGTTTCCAAACGCAGCCTAAATTTGTTTTGGTTTTAAAATAGGAGTTTATTTACACTCCTTAAAAATATAAGAGGAGAGTATGGAGGCTTGCTATTGCACAACATGCACGTACGCGCGTGTGTTGCGCAATGAGGTGCTTTAGAGGCTTCACAATTGCATGATTTGCAAAGAGTGACTTTGACTTTTGGTGCGAGGCTGACCATTGAAACAATGATTTGATCAGGTGTGATCAAGAGGCACTATCCAAAGTTAACAGTCATTAACTGTTAACTACCTTTTAATAGTCATAATGTTTGAAATTGTGACTGTTCAATGGACCTTTTCTAAACTAGCACCTTCCGCTACTCCATGACTCTTTAGAAATTATTTAAAAAGTGTAAATTAAGTAAATGAACACAAGCTTTTCGAAAATCACTTTTGTTTCTCTTAGTTTGATCTACTACCATCTTACAGAAGGTTCTTTGGAGACTCTTCAACTTGGCTGGTTGCAGATTCTCGCCCAAGACTCTGTTGTATCTTAGGAACGGATTTGCTTATAACCCAATATCAAACTCAGTAAAACTGAGTGGGGGGCAAATAATGTTTTAAGGATAATATCTTTAGAAATGTCTCAGAGCTTCTCCTCCAAGTTTCTATGACCCCACTTTTCCAACAATGTCAAATTGGGTATCAGACTTTTGGAGTAATTGTCTATGACAAATTAGGGAAGCCTAGATATTCACACATTATTTTCAAGTGTACACTCATTTACAAGAAAATTACAAAACTTGTACCTCTTATGATGGAAACTAAAAAGTCTATATATGATCATCAAAAAGAAATGAGGAAAAATAGTAAAGTAATAGAAATAACATGTAACTACTCTATACTCTATGATTCAAATATTCAGAGTCCAAATTGATTGGGTAAAGATCATGGGCAGAAGTAGAAGACCCAGTCCAAGGCCCATCATTTAACATACGCTGGGTCTGGCTCTCACTGATACTATGGTCTTGGTTCTGTTGATAATAATTCATCAATTCCTTGTCCTTCTCCTTATCACTGAAGCGACTTGGCTCTGAGACAAACTCATGAATAGGGAGTCGGCCTTCAATCATGCTCACCACAGCAGACATGGGGGGCCTTAGTTGAGCACATGGGTTGGTGCACATGAGAGCCACATTAATCATGGCCATAACCTCTTCCCTGTTGAAATCTGATCCCAACCTTGGATCCTTTAGATCCATCAAATTTCCTTTCTCTTTCAGAATAAGGGCCTAGAAATTATTTGAAGAAGAAACAAGAAAAAAACCATAAGCCTAACTGATCTGATTAAAAGGTTGTACAATGAAGGCCAAATGTTTTTTATCAATTAAGAAATTTTGAATTACCCAATCAAGAAGATAAATGCGTTCCTCCTTTGGCCTGAAACTAGTGTTAGACCTCCCACTGACAATTTCCAAGGTAACAACTCCAAAACTATAAACATCTGCTTTGTCTGTCAAGTAACCCCTCATTGCATACTCTGGTGCCATGTATCCACTGAAAAGTCAAGATTAGTAAATAACATACTATTACAGTTGAATGTGTGATAAACCCATGAAGCTAAGTAGTTATTACTTTTGTCATAGCAATGGGTCTCATTAAAACCCTAATATTTTCTAGGTATGAGATTCAAATGTAGCTCAAATTAGTAATTTAGCCTGCTTTGATTTCTATAACTGAATGATCAATAAAAATTTCAAGAAAACTTGACAACTTCTTGAATTAGTCCATAAAAAAAGGTCTTCTAATCAAGTTAAGTGGGGATCCTTAATTTCTACAAAAATTGTCCTGTTTCTACCACATAGATGGAAGATGCATCTCATCCACCTACACCAGGTACGAAAGAACCATTTGGGATTGGCCATCTATTCACTTGCGAAATTGAGTATTGAAATACCAACAGGTGATGTTTTAATATAAAACTTATCTAAAAAGCAAGGGTTATTTTCATCATGTGCCAAGGGGTTAAGGCTTAACTTTGGCCTATTTATAAACTAACATGAAGAAACTCCAAAGGCCCTTTTGGTCTCCAAAGATAGAAGATTCTATTTCCTTTTCTCTTGCCTTTCTCACTAAGACATCATGAAAAGAACTCACAACGATAAATAGTGAAGACAAAACATGTAGCATTAAAACTCACAAAGTTCCAGCAATTCGAGTGCTTATGTGAGTGTCCTCCTCATCGTCAAGCTTGGCCAATCCAAAATCAGATATCTTTGGGTTAAGATTTTTGTCAAGAAGTATGTTAGTAGCCTTGATGTCCCTATGAACAATCTTCAATCTTGACTCTTCATGAAGATAAGCCAAACCTCTTGCAATTCCAACACAGATCTTGTGCCTAGTTGGCCAATCTAGTTTCAATTGGTATTCTTCCGGGCCTTTACACCATCAATTTTACAAAATTCAAAGTTAACTATTGTATTTGAAATATAGTAGTGCTAGAAAGAAATGAAGTAGAAGAAGAACAAGAATGAAGTCAAGCAAACAATGTTGAACTTACCAAACAAGGCACGAGCAAGGCTATTATTTTCCATGTACTCATATACTAGCAATAACTGATTTCCTTCAATACAACATCCATAAAGCTTTACAAGGTGAGGGTGTTGTAGAGCAGAAATCATGCCTATCTCATTCACGAATTCACGATTTCCTTGCTTCGATTTGGAAGAAAGTTGTTTAACTGCTATTATAGTCCCATCTGATAAAAGTCCCTACATTTGAATAATAAACTAATAATGTACAGTTCCTTCTACTTAACATTTATAAGAAAGAAACATGTAGACTTTGATGAAAGTTGAGAGTGATACATTAAGATAGTGTCATCTTATGTACAATACCTTGTAAACAGACCCAAAACCGCCTTCTCCAATCTTGTTTGCCGCATCAAAGTTGTTTGTTGCAGCTTTAATTTGCCTTAGTGTAAAGGATCCAGTTTGTAGGTCCAAGCCTCTCAAATCTATTAAGGGAGCAAAGCTATATGTGAGATGTGTCTTAAATACAAAAAAAATGCTCTTACCAAGGAATACAAAAGGAGCCTATTAACTTTCATGATGTCTAGGATTATGTAAATAGAAAGTAATTAAGACATAACGAACTTGCATTTTTGAATTTTGAAATTTTTGTTAAGACTTAAATGTAGTATAAAAATTATAATATTTTATTGAAGGAGAAATTTATTTACAAATAATCAATTAGATTCCTAAAAATCACAATAATAATATCTAAATGGATTAATGAAATTTCAGTAGGATATAAAAAACTAAAGTTGATTAGTTTCTGCTAAGCTGCTATAGTCATTATTAATTGTTTTATAATAGAGGAGCATCTGCTACTTTTTTTTCTCATAAAGTACTAATTACCTTTTCAATAGATTTTTCTAAGACTTCAGAATTGGTTAGCTTGTACCTTTGTCCATTGTATTTTTGCATCCTAAATAGCCTTTCCACCAAAGGATACCCAGAACCAGGAAGATAAAGGCCAACACTGAAACCACAATTCCAGCAACAACACCTGTTGATACCTTTCTACCTTCTGAAGGAATTGGGAAGTCTGCAAGAATAAACAATATCAAATTCTTGCATACCAAATTGTTGAAAGATGAATGTTTCATAAGTATCACCAATTTATTAAAAGTTGCATGATATTGTGAAATGCTAGGTTAACAAGAACATTATAATTGTATGACTTGTAAAGAAATATCCAAACCAGGAGCAAGAAGTCATCTTGTCTATATTGTTATTAGTAAGATCACCTTTCATTCATAACCAGTGTTCATTTCCTTACTTTTCTCTTTATTGCTCCCATGATTGTTATGGAGACTTGAGAGGATAAAACAAGAACATTGATATGGTGTTTGTGCAATAAATGCATATTAGAGTTACTTTTCCTTTTCCCAATTAAGAGCTCTGTGATGGCCAAACCCTTGTGGTGTTAGCATTTGCCTTATGACAATTCATTTGAGTTTATTGTTTGATTTAACCTTTAATTGTAGATTACAGAAATTGCCTATAGGATATGAAAAAAACATAATGATGAATAGGTACCATTTAAGTCAAATTAGTCAATAATTATAGCATACTATCAATGCATACAAATTGTCTCCTATCTCTACTCTAGATTAGATCAGTACTCAAACAAACTACTATTAGAAGAGGAGGTCATGGAAAAGCATTCAACTTACTAGGCTCCACAGAGATAGCTGACACCAAGGGACCATAAACTCCTCTTTCAGGAATTGCAGTTGTTCCTTTTCCAGCCCAATAGAAGCGAATTTCCAAAGTTCCATCTGTTACATTAACTTGGTCGATTGTTTTAATGAATGGCTTGCCTGCTCCACCTGCTTTATCTACTATATTGAAATCTTTCAGTACCCATTGTCCCTGTAGCAAAACAATTATAGTTAAATCTATCATATATGATATACGTATATCTCTATACAATGATTAATTAACATCTACCTGAATATAAACATCAAATATACGCCTTCCAAGGCTACTGTAATTTCTTTCATTTGTAAACATGATTTCTGCAAAGTGGAGTTTGACTTTGTAACTTCCTTTCCTCATACAATACCCATAATATGTGAGAGAGATTGGAGAAGTACGTGCTGTCTTATATAACGTAGACTCTGGTGAGTTGTTCAACAGGCTATGTGTATTTGTTACTATAAAGTTATTTTTGTCATTACCATCTGTAAAGTAACCAGTGTTGCTAAGTGCCCATACATCTTTACTCTGCGACGTCATTGCAGAAGATGTTGAAGGGTCAATATGATTTTGATCAGCTGCATATATATAGTTGCCTATAGTTTCTTCTCCTCCACCACAATTTATATGGAGTTTGTATCCATCTAGAACAAAAGCAATAACATTTTAGTGATCATATGACAATAGCCACACCAAAGGTCAATGCAAAAACAATATCTTAGCTTTGTATTTTATTGTTTAATGGACTTGGTCAGTTGTTGTATCTTGTTACTTTGTGACATCTTTGAATTGCTTTATATTGTTCATTCTATCAACTTTTGATAACAACATCTCTTAATGATGTCTTTTTCATCATCCTTATTAATGTAGAAAAAAGATAAAAACAACTACACTTTAAGGGGGCTTTTTACCATGTGATTTGCTTTTTGTGTTGCCTTGGCTCAAAAAATAAGTGAAAACCATTTGGTTTAAAAATAAATTGTTTTTCAAAACAAAAATGCAGAAAACATGTTTCCCCAAACATGTATATGTGTATGTTTTTTTTTGTTTTCAAAACTGAAACAAAAAACATGTTCTTGAATTCCAAGTTTCAAAATTATGTTTTCATTTAGTTATTTAATATCACATTCCATAAATCAGAGAATTTCTTTGCTACAAAATTTGTTTTTGTTTTAAAAAACATTATTTGGATGGTTTAAAAAACATGTATTGTATTTTTTAAACAAAGCCAACTTGTGTTTGCCTTTGAAAATAAAAACAGTGTTCAAAACATGTTTTCTCTTTTATTCCTATTGTAGTGATTTCAAAAACAAATGAAAACAAAAACATTCTTTTTGTGGAGCATCCCCTTAATTAGGCCTTCCCACATGGGTATGGTATATAGAAACATCGTTTTAGCAAATGTACCTTTAAAACAAAATTTTAGTCATAATCCATAAGATTATTACCACTCTAACATGCATAAAGGGTTAGAAAATGTAATACTAAATGCTCCCTACCTAAGAGATTTCCTGAAATGAAGCCAAATATATTGAATCATATGAACCAATTGATGAATTTCATTTCAAATATTTTTGAGATTTAAGAAAATTATTAAGTATTTCTTTTTTTCTTCATTTCTTACAAGAACACAGTTTTTAGAACATCACATTTGATATTTCTTACACATTGTTTACACATCTAGGTTATGTTTGGTACTGATGGTGCAAAATTCGGTCACTCCTAGCTAGCACTCGCGTGGCTCCCGAAAGGTACCTGAGATGAGGAAGAAGAAGAAGAAGAATCCCTGGGGGGTTTGCCCGGCGGGAACACTCCGACGATTAAGTTAGTATTCTGTGTAGGAAGCAAGGAGAGGATACAGGCTAAGAGTGAGATCGCGCAAGTAATCCAGACGATACCCGTTTTCTGAGAATAGACTCCTTATACCAGAATTCCGTTGCATCAGGCCCACTGGCCTCTGACAGGGTAGGTACAACCGCCACTGTCAGCCTGCCATAGCCGTTACAGGTAGGGCTGAGGTGGCGCACGCGGGGCCGTCACTGCTGGGTTCGTACCTGTCAGGTGTACGACGCTCTCTAAAGGTGGCAGGCATGACGCTCTCGGGCAAGGGACATGGCGGTGGTTCCAGACCTACCGGGTACGGTGGTTGGGCAGGAGGCCTTCCTGTGGTATGCCGAACTACCCTTTCGCGAGTTACCTTGTGTCGGGTTGTCCCGTGAGCGGCGAGTTGTCTGTAGCAAGCTATGCCGAGCTGTCTGGCCCGAGGTGTCTTCACCTCGGGGTGTCTAGAGATGGGCCGGTGTGTTCCTATCTGGGAGTGGCCCGAGGTCCATTGGGAGGATGTCGGGTATCAAAAAGGTCAGGGTACCCCGAGCTCCCGGGCACCTCGAAGTGCCTTAGCCCCGGGGAGGAGGTGTAGGTAAGGCGGCTCCCGGCGAGTAGTTTATCCGCCCAATTACCGAGCTGAACTCAGTGGGACCTTCCCTCTGAGTTGCGGCTGCATCTGTTGCGTTGTCATGCTGAGTCACTGCTTAAGCAAGGTCACGCCCACGTGTACCCGTGCTATGAGGTTGGGCCAAATCACCCTCCATCAATTGCCCCCCACTCCCTGCGTTGGCGGGGTTGGCCCAGCGCGGGGAGGTTGTGACACGCCGGGTGGATTTGGCTTCGGTGCTCATGCCACGCCATCACACGCTCCATCCAGCTGGACCGGTCCAGTGCCCGGTTCGATCAAAAGAGGCCCGAGTCACGTTCAATTTACGTGCGGACCTCACGCGATTTGAACTTTGCGGACATCAAAAAAGCGCTAAACCGTTTTCGCCTCGAGGAGTCCGCAGTTGTGGTTATAAATTGGGGGACCCTTGGCCATTTCTTCGCCACAAAGCTTTCAGCGTTAGTGTTTGAGCTCGTGCCAGAGGTCTCTTAGCTCGGGTCTTTCAGTTCGTCCCGTCTTCCCAGTCCAGTCGCGTTCCTTTGGTGAGTTCTCTCGAGCTTCCTTTTCCCTTCATGTTTGTTTCTTTCCCTTCAGCTCGTTCTGTCGTCTAGCGTAGGTAGCCTGGCTAATGAGCCCAAGGTGGGTACCTCGGCTCAGGGTTGCTCTTCGGCTGCCCAGCCACCCGATGTACGGGTGGCTTCGGGTAACCTGTTATCCACCTCTAACCGAGGTCGGGTGCCAGACCAGTTCGGCCCTTCTACCATGACCTCGGAGAGGCTCTAGGACCTCATACAGAGGTTCCACCTTCCCGGGGAGTACTCATACAGTCTCCCTATCGGCAACTTCCCATGAGAGAACGGTCCTGATGAGATCGTGGTCTTCAGGGAGCACTTAGTAGCCGAACTCCGACTCCCTCTTCACCGCTTGATTGCCGAGGTGTTGGTGCACTTCAACATCAGTTTGGACCAACTTCACCCGAATTCCATACGGAATATAGTTGGGACCATTTCTCTTTGATTTGACCGATCTCTTCCTATCGACCTAGACGTTCTTAGCACCATTTTGGCCATAAAGAAGAGTGCTTCGGGCACTCTCCCCAGGCACAGATGGTCTTATTACCTGTCTCCCCGTCCAGGTTTCAAGCTCATGCATAGACTCCTGAGTAAAGTCCCGGCCTGGAAGCAGAACTACTTCGTAGTTCGGAGCAGCACGGGGTGACCCTTCCCTACTGACTGGAGGGTGGCTGTTCAAGACCCCGGTGTCAGCCTAGATGGGAAGACCAAGAAGGAGCTCCAGTCGCTGGCTCAGCTCGGGTTAAATTATAAGGAGTTCACATCCGAGGAGAAGCTCATCCAGGCCGGCTTGAGCTTGGGTAGGTTTTGTTTTACTTCGGCTTTTTGTTTGTATGTTTACTTCGGTATTTTCTAACGCCGAGCTTCACTGCAAGTCCCATGGAGGCGGAGAAGATTGACACGTAGAGACTCTTCCGCCAGATGAAGAGAAAGAAGCGCGTAGCCAAGAAGGCGCGCGTCGAGTCTCCCCAGGCCTTTGCCGAGACTCAACCTTCACAAGCCCCAGCTTCGGAACCCGAGCTCCGAGGTACTCCACCCGTCATCGACCTGGAGGGAGACGCGGTGCCTCAGGGGCCCGAAATGGTGACGGGGCCTTCTGCTAAGTCCACCGAGCCAGCCGCCGGGAGTGCTACGGAGGCTACTACTGAGGCTCATCCCTCAGAGGCTGCCACTGGGGCCCGTTCTGCTGACACTGCCGCCAATGCTTCTGAGGAGTCCACCCGTGACGTGGAGATGACTGTGTCTAGCTCGGAGGGTCAAGGGAGCCGAACTGTCTTGAACCCTCAGTGCGGCCTGGAGAAGAGCAAGCTGGCTGCATATTCGGAGGAAGTCTCCGAGTGGGCTGATTTCACTCCTGGTTAGCTCGGTGGCCGAGCTGCCACTCATACCATGGTGGTGAGTTTTTGAGTTTTTTTTTTTTGGTTCCCCTTTTGACCGGTCCCCCTTTTGCAGGTGAATTCAGCCATTCGTGTCTTCACCCTTCAATCAGATCGGCACCTGAGGCGGGATCTAGAGGCTGAGAAGTCATCCCGTGCAGCCCATACCGAGCTAAGGGCCATTCACGGGCAGATCCACCGCTTAGAAAGTGACGCCTCGACTTAGAAGAACTTCATCGAGGTGCTTTTGGCGGAGAAGAGCGAGCTGGCCCGAGATAAGGATAGATTGAGGGCCGAAGTGAGCGGATACAAGGTCGGCCAAGAGGTCTTGAGGCTCGAGGTGGACACCCTCAAGGCAGAACGGGATGCTCTGAAGCTCGAGGTGCAGGGCCTTAAAGAAGCCAAGGGGAAGCTGGAGCACGAGGTGGAGGACCTCCAGGAGGACATTAAGGAGAAGACGGCGATCTTCGTAGATGCCCTCAAGGAGACCAAAGTTCAAGCCGTCATCGATTATGTCAAATCCTCGAGATTTGACGACATGATGATCGATGCCTACCATAGGGGCTTCAAGCTCAGTTGGTGGTTGATCAGGCACCTCTACCCCGAGCTCGATACGAGTGCCATCACCACTTCGCGGATCACTGATGACATTGTGTGTTAGTCAAAAGATGATCCGAACTCTGAGGATGAGGGTGCTGACGATGAAGCAGAGGATGTTGGCCCAGTTACTGCCCCCGAGGAGGTCCGTAACAAAGACAATGAGCTTCCGAGATAGCTTGGTCCCTGTTTTACAAACTTAGTCTTCTCTTTTTCTTTTTCTTGTAACAAGAATTTTGTAATGGAATTTTTGTAATAAAAAGTTCACTTTGTCAAACACTTGTGCAATTTTTTTCTTGCTTGCCGAAGTGGTTGCTTTGTTCTGAGCTTTTAGGCCATCAGGTTAATTACCCGAAGTGAGGGTTCCTTAGTTGTCATGACCCCAAACTATGTTTGGATACTCAGTAGGGGCAGCCTTATGCACACCGAGGTGAGTGACATAGTAGGGTGCATACCCGACCTGTCTACACCTGGGTTAAGTTGACATCAGTTATCCTGAGCGGGTTCAACTCGTTGCATGCCGGGGTGGGTCGTACGTCACAAGGTTCGTGCCCGGACTGCCTGCATCTTAGGCATTGCAAGTACTTAGCTTATGCCGGCGAGGTGACTAGGCCTTATGTGGTGCCGAGATCTTTCATTAGCTCGGTGTTTTAGCCCTTAGGCTG